ATTCGCTGAAACACTGGGGTTTGAAGTACCACTACACCAGTGTGTTATTCGTTCTATCCTGGGAGGAAATAATCCATAACCTTGGGTACTAGGAGGGGATTAAATTCCTTAAGGAAACACTGTGAATTCAGTGGGCTCGAATTAATTACTGTTTCATTACGATAACTTTTATTTTGCAGAATTATTATTTACAAATACAGTAATATTGCTGGGAATAACAGTTCATTTATCTGCAACTTAATTCTCTTTTCAATCATCCACAGACAAAGGCGGAGCTAGACATTGCTTACTGGTTCGGCCGAGCCGAGTAACTTTTGTTCAAATCTTATATTTGTCTTGTGAAATTCATGGAATATATAGAAATGATTAATTTAAAACCCAATAACTTAAAAGAACTAGAATACTGAATCCATAAACTTCAAATTTTGACTTTTCCTGTATCTACAAAAGTTTAGCGGCCATCTAGAGAATACATAAGTTGTTTGGAGAATCTTAAAAAGAATGTAATTTATTCCAAAAGGCAACATCCAACACCGTCCCCCTTATCTTGAGGTTAGAAATTACAATATGGTTATAGATCAAAGGAATGACCCAAAGAGGAGGAAAAAAAATATAAATTCGTATTCTGAACCTTCAATTAGAAACATAAGCAACAACAGGACTCCTAACTAGATGCACCCCGTCATCCCACACCAATGAACCTGATATCATAGAGTCAGTTATCTCTGCCGTCACTGACACCACGAATGATTGCTTCTGCCCCAATGATCTGAACGAAAGAATGCTCGGTTCTACTCGAATGGTGAGTCCCTCAGGTGCTACAACAGTTGCCTCGTAAGTGGAAACTGGCGTACCAACGTTGGTGACGGTCCTATGAAATACTCGGGTGATGTTTGTATTTTTCGAAGAAGAAATTGTGAAAGAAGGGTAGTTTAGATCCCAAACAGTTACATTGGTTTCAGAAGTACAAGGTGTCTTAGCCCCTGTAATAATCTGCAAATTCTTGGTACTGTATTCTTGACCACACAAGAATTTTATGTAATCAATTTCTCCCATGTCATATACTAGACCGGGATGTGTAGCCTTTATTGGATTTATTTGACCAAATCCATATGCTAATTCTGCCTCAGTGTTTGCACTGGAGCTCATAGGTGTTGCTGTACCCAAAAGGAAGAAATACAAAAGTTAAAGGAATGTTATCTATTTTATTGAATGTTGTTTTTGTATAATGTTTGGTTTCCACAAGACATGCACTCCAAAAGGTCAATTTATTGCAATTATGAACATGAACCAGAAGTGCCTTAAAAATCTATACCAGTAATCATTAGAGCAGATTTGATAGCAGCAGGAGACCATGTTGGATTGAATGATTTAACATAGACAGCTGCTCCTGTAGCATGAGGACAAGCCATAGACGTGCCGGAAATTATGTTGTATGGAACTACCCCGCTTATCTCCTTGTTTACCTGCCGTAGGCAGTTCCAAAATTTAAATATAACGAGTTTAAGGCCATGAGTTTTTTGATGGTTATGATTTTGAAAATTTAATATTTTTAAAATCTTCTCATTTCCTGGTTTGCCCCTGGTTACCTGTGACAGTTGTACCTTCAGACCAAGCTGCTAGTATGTCCACTCCTGGTGCGCTTAGATCAGGCTATTCAAATAATGTTGGAAATTAGTGACAAACATAAAATACTATCGAAAAAATTACTAATGTTTTACGCAAGAATTATATAGGGTGATGATACCATAATTAAATGTTACCTTTAGAATGTCATTTGTAATTTGATTGGGTCCTCTTGATGAAAAGGAAACAACAAAAGGGGCAGATTCTGATCTCTTTTCACTACTTTTCAAAATTCTTCCAGTTGGTTTACTGAAGAAATAATAATATTAGAAGAGTATCAGAATACAATTTATCTTTTGTTACTTATTTAATCATTCATTGAAATTAGAAATAATACCGTGTTTAATATAGGTAATTGTAAATATTGTTGCCATCATTTGTGCTCAAGTATGAAGATGATATGGGGAAAGAGAATGCAACATCTTTGAATCCATTATCCGGCATTATAGCTCCAGCAGCTCCAGCAATAATTGTTCCGTTGTAAGTCCAATCGCAGAGCACAATTTTGCCTCTAACCTTACTTTTGTCCAATGAATTTTCTTCACAGTACCTATAATTTACGGATTTTTTAAATAATATTTTAGATATATTAAACTCAATATATAAAGAGTTTATTCCACTCCAACTACTGCTTAAATACCTGGATTCAGATCCATTATACCCTGCCGCAGTATTTGGAACGTCTCCACCATAAACTAGTGGGTACTGGTCCTCTAGGTCAAAAGTGTTGATGGAGACCCCCTGCAAGAGAAGGTTAACCAATTGTAAAGTCAAATTAGAAGACTGAATTCCACCTAATTAAGCTTGATTGTATCATCCATTCATGCCAAGTGAGGCTCACTCTAGGGATAGATTACCTCCGCCATCAACCAGTAGATTGAGTGTTCGAGTCACGATGAAAGATAAGTGAGAATACTATTGAACCTCCTCATGGAGTGGAATGGACAAAAAAAAAATGACGGGGTGGGGTGGACCAAAAAAAAAAAGTTTGTGTTAAGCCAAAAAGCATTTTGTTAGTGCAGTATAAAAGTTGTTTATATTTAAATTTCGACTATTTATTTTTTGAAGAAATATTCAAATAATATTCACCTTCACGATGTTTTTAATTAGCAAATATGTAACACTATGACTCGTTATTTAATTAATTTTAATTTTCATATTTTATATATGAATATAACTTTTATTATTCATTTATCAAAATATTTTGAGGGTCAACACTAGTTATTAATTAGGACATTTAGCACATGTCTTGTGTAAAAACTGTTGTGTGAATCCTACGTGATTAACCATGCATGTTTTTCGGACGCATAATTGGTTGTTTGGGGCATAACCTCACAAAATTAAGTCACATACATAGAGCCTCAAGATATTGCGCAAGTACTTTGCTCGAGCCTCAAGATATTGCGCAAGTACTTTGCTCGGGAGCAAGACTGTATACGGTCGAAATAGATTTCGGCATTTGTACGACTGGTCGAGATGGGAACATAATGGATCAAAGAGAGTATTCATAATATCGAGATGGGATTTGAAGAAACAAACGAGCTTCGAGTTTTATGGACAGATCAAATACCGAGCTCAAAATCATTATCGAGTTCGAGTCCAAATCAAACTATGATGAGAAGCGATGGAATCGAGATTAAAAGGCCAGAGGCCAACCAATACCGACCTTGAGTCAGTACTGGGCCCTGAGTCACTATCGAGCTCGAACCCACATTGAGCTCTTACCCAGGAAACCGACCGATACCAAGTCCGATCATGATCGAGCCAAGAGACAAGAGCCGTTACAACCGCACTAAGAGAGGGAATCTCGGCGGAAATTAGGGAAAACCTGATTTATCATGGGTTCCCCACTATATATTTTTAATTATATCCAATATAGGATCCCTCCACTATAAGAGCGATGTCTATTATTCTTGTAAGAGGGCATCAAGTCATTAATACACTATAACTCAAATATTGTTGATACATTCCCATATTAAGATATTATCCTTTTGAGCTTCACACATAATTTCATTTTGCTTGTTCATAAATCATCTTTCTTTCAACTCGGTTTGTATCTTTTCTTTATAGTCAATATTCGATATTTCTACTTACTCTTACGATTTGTATCAAGTTATACCACGTATCCTTAGAACTACGTACAAATTCAACTCTTTCGTTTTTCGGGTAAACAAAGACCCAAAAAGCTTTTTAAAGCACTAATAGACAATAAGAGAACTCGTCTATTTTATGTGTAATTATAGCAAGATGTTAAGAAAATGTAATATATATTAAATATAAAGAATGATATTTTTTAGACAAAAAAATGACTTTTACAATTAAAAAGATACAGAAGTTTTCAACATCAGATGTAAATGTCGGTAATTACCTACACTTTTAAAGTAAAAGTCATAATTATTTTTGATATTTTGTATCAAATGTCATTGTTTTAAAAATATTTTGTATCAAATGTCATTGTTTTAAAAATATTTTGTATCAAATGTCATTGTTTTACCATATTTTGTATCAAATGTTATTGTTTCTACCATATTTCTCTCTCTCTCTCTCTCTCACGCACACAAATATATATATCAAAATTGGGGCAAGATTTCTCACCTCATAGACTTCACCGTTTCCTAATTGCACGTCCGTGACAAATCTCCTGTCAATGGTACTCGCAGCAACAGAGAGAGACCAAGGGGACAGGTTGGTTACCGTTTGCGGATCAGGTCCGGAATTGCCTGCAGAATTGGAGGTGAGGATTCCATTCTTCATAGAATGGAAAGCTCCAATGGCTATTGAATCTTCAAAGTATTCATAAGGTAAAGACCCTCCTACTGAGAGTGAGATTATATCAACTCCATCTGCAATTGCATCATCAAATGCTGCTAGGATATCAGCATCAGAACAACCATCAGACCAGCATATTTTATATATAGCTATCCTTGCAGAAGGCACTCCTCCTCTAGCTGTTCCTGAGCCAAGACCGTACAAGCTTGCCCTGCTAACGGAGCGCCCGGCTACTATTGATGCCGTGTGTGATCCATGACCTTCTGTATCTCTTGGTGATTGGATGTCGCCTGGCGGAAATTCTCCATTGACTCGATAGTACTTGGCTCCGATGATTTTTCTGAAAAGGATCGATATAATGTTGTAAAGTAACTAGCTGACAGATATAGGTGTGACCATCTCGTTCAAAATCTTACGTCAGAGAACACATTTTTATTAACTTAATCATGCTCTCAACACGTTCCCTTACATGCAAGCAAGATTATGTTCCATCATAGTATTAGAGCAAGTAGCTAGAGACCATGGATCAAGTCTCATCGTCCCCCCTTAATTACTAAAGAAGAATATTACATGTACTTTGACTCATTAAGAAAAATAGGGGCAATCTTTGTGTTTGATTAGACGTGTAAGATTTTCTTACGTTTTGGTGGCCCAATAAGTTTAAGACCCATAATTAATATTTAATTAATGAATAAATTTCATCCGTCTGATTGATTATTTGATGGACGTATCGGATTAAATGAGAACCTCTATAAATTGGTCCTCTCCCCACCCATTAGGGTTACCGTATTTTTATTTTTTCGCTTCCATCACTAAAGTCGGCGGTAACGAAAGCTAGAGAAAGGGGCGAGAAACCAATTTGAATTAACGCTTCTGTTTCACGATGATGGCTTATGATTCAGGTATGTTTTCTGTACAATTTTGTGTAAGATTATTATGTTCAAGATCCTGGTATGCAATTAAAGTTTATGCTAACAAGATGTACTTATTGCAAGTGAAGTTAGCTGAGGCCTGACAAGTGCCCTTCCACTTGCTTGGGGGAGCAGCAAAATCTTCGTCATTGAAACTTTCTGATTCTGGCCAAATTCCAGTGTCTAGCATTCCTATAATAAGGTCGTTCTCCACATTTGTTCTTCTTTTAACTTCTTGAGGAAAACCCAGGAAATCCCATGACCTAGTTGTATGCAGCTCCTTTCTACCATTTGGGAACACTGATACAACTGCCTCCATATCTGTGAATAAACAAAGTTGATTTAGACAATAGGATTGGAAGTGTTGGTATTGTACGTAGTTAGCAAATTTCATATCTAATAGTGATTTGTTGGGACTATACACATTCAATGTCATCATATATATTCTATGTGTTATTTGAAATGTTGCGACTTTTCATGAAAAGTTGAAAGACGACACTTCGTATTGATATATAGGATCAGTCATGAATGGGTGTCTATTATATTGGTCTGTAAACATGACCAACTGAATTTCTAATGAGATAATAAGAAATTTAAGAGTTTGTAGTAAAACTTTTTCATATTTAACAAATGAGTTTCCGGATCGAACTTGGAATAATAGTTCAATGGATTCCCCGATATTGCTAGTTTCAGAATTTTGTTTGAGAGAACACTTGCCATTAACTGGTAGCAAATTATGAATAATTCGATAAATAAAGCAATTCATTAGCACCTCAAAAAGTCTTACCAGTTAGTTTCATATTCAATTTCTTCTTTCTACCAACCATATTTCCCGATTACATCGAAATATTTTTCTACAATAGTTAAGTAAGGTTGACAAAACAAAGAACCTTTTACTATACAGTATAATTAAGGGTTCACTTATTCTATATACTGACTTACTTGCGATTCTCTTCTTCTCTTCCTCGGACAGTTTGGCAGCAAAGCCATTGAAGCTCCTCTTATAGCTGTACATCAAACATTCTGAAGCTCTACCATTGCTGAATGCATGTAATTAAAACCATAGTTTGATGAGTTTCGATTTCATTTTTACTGTAGGACTTCCCCTTTCCAATTAATCACTAAAGTATAGCTATAAAAAGAATAGAGGAAAAGGAAAAAAGAAAAGGAAGAATTTGGGAAGATGCCAAAGCAAACTGGAGTAATCGTGGCTTTATACGTAAGTCGTCGGCTAAATTTCCAAATGAACACTCACTTAATTGGTTCAAATAAGCAACTTAAAAAGTATTTCTTTAAAAGGAAGAAATGGACAGTCTTTAATTCTAAATAAATTTATTCTATAATGTATCAATTTATTCAACACAACTAATGATCAAATTTTTTACAGGACCACTGACCTCCCAAGAGCCTCTTGTAGAATGCTAGTGTGCATAGATGTAGTAGAAAGATCACCCTTTGGACTGTCGCCCATGTACACAATGTACTCCTGTACCTTAAACATGATTAGTAGATACCTTCAAAATTCAGAGGCGGAGTTAGGATTTGAATCTTATGAGTTCGGGATTATAATTCTTTTAAGTTACTGAGTTCTAAATTAATAATTTGTGCATACTCATTGGATTTTTTTAATACAAATACAAGGTTTGAATAAAGCTACTGAGTTCCACTAAACCCACAACTAATACTGTGGCTCCGCCCCTACTTCAAATGCACGTAATAGTGATGTTGGAAAAATGATACATTAGTATTTGAGAATGAGCTTAGCACTTTTACAACATCGGCAAACCATTTAAAAGATAATTACAAGTCATAAATAAATGCTAGTATTAGTGAACAAGAAAATAAGGAAGGTTATGCAACTCTATTAGAATAATTCTTGTTAACTCTAATCACCAAAGTAATGTTTGACAGTTTAAAAATGCAAAAAGAAAAAAAAAAATAAAGAGAAAGGAGATGCCTTTTGGTCATTTTCATACGCTAGTACACTGCAATTGATGAATAGAAAAGAAGAGAAGACGTATAGGAGAAACCATGAAGGAGAATACTGAGTGGCCGTTTGAGATATATTTTCCTAGAGTTGATATTTTCATGCAAAAAGAAAAACTATGGAATGGATATTTATAGAATTATGACACAAGTAACATACATAATTCCATTGGTTTCTCAATGTTAAATAGTAATGCTTGTCCATGGACATGACACGAAAGCCGGCTTCTACAATGTTACGTTGGCCTCTCCTAATAGTATAGAAAAAATCTAAAGGAAAGAGGAAATTAAATAACAGAGGAATCTCAGTTTGGTATAATTTTAAGCCGTTTCCGAAAGACACAGACAACATTGATGAAACAAAATGAAGGAATTGCGTATAATAGAACATGCATGGAACCATGTGAAACTCCTAAAACAATTCAATTACATGGAAGGACAAGCATCATGCATGAATTTAAGATGTTGTCTAGCAATTAAGTTCAAGCTCCACATTGTTTGATCGATCAAATATGGATTTTAGTTATATACATTGATGGGACAAAGATTTTTTACACTATTAGTATAATATTATTTAATACTAAGCTTACATATCAATGAATTTTTGTTAGAATTGATGGGGCATAGAATTACACGTATTTATCTTTTAAGTGATCATATGTTGCAGACTGTGCATGAAATGTAAACCCTCATCAAATATTAGGTAGTTTTAGTACTCTTGCTAACACCTAAGTCATATGTAACGATCTGACCAGTATTAGCGTCCCTTTCAGCGGCTTAAGATCTCGAGCAGCTTTGTATTATGTGTTATGACTGGCGTGTGTGGTCGAGTTCGATTTTCGGATGATTCGGGATCAATTTGGAAGAAGGATTCTTGTTTTAGAAGATTAAGAGGTAAGAGTTGACCGGAGTCTGACTTTTATATAGATGACTTCGAAATAGCATTTTGATGATTCAAATAGTTTCGTATGGTGATTTTGGACTTAGGCGAGTGTCCGGATTTGGATTTGAAGGTCCGTAGGTTGATTTGATGCATTTTGGCGAAAATTGGAAAGTTGAAGTTTTGGAAGGCTGAAAGGTTTGACCGAGAGTTAACTTTGATGATATCGGGTTCAGATTTAGGTCCAAGGAATTGAAATAGCTTCGTTATATCATTTAGGACTTGTGTGTAATATTTGTATTCATTTCGGGTTGATTTGATATGTTTCGACATGAGTTTTAGAAGTTGGATGATTTAAAAATTCATAAGTTCGATTCGAGATGCGATTCGTAATCTCAACATTTTTTGATGTGATTTGAGGCCTCGAGTAAGTCCGGTTATGTTACGGGACTTGTTGGTATATTCGGACGGAGTCCCGAGTGGCTCGAATGTGTTTCAGACGGGTTTCGGATCGTTTGGAGCATGTTGGGTGAGGCTGGTTTGGGCAGAGCTGGTGTGGCCGCAGGTGCGTGGCCACTTCTGCGTAATACTGGTCGCTTCTGCAAAGTTGTGCAATCCTTGTTGATTCTCTTCTGCGGATAGAGGACTGCAGGATCGAGGCCGCATCTCCGGAAGGTCGATCGCAGATGCGAAAATCGAGCCCCAGGTGATCGTCTACTTCTGCAGTGTTGTGGTCGCTTCTGCGATATCGCAGATGCGAAAAATGTCTCGGAGGTGCGCAAACTGGGCAAGCAAGTGAAGACCGTAAATGCGACATTTTGTCTCGAAAAAGCGAGATGCGCAGATGCGCAGATGCACAATTTTGTCCGCAAATGCGGAAATGGCTGGGCAGAATGCTTAAGTTCGAGGGTTCGACATTTTTATTCATTTTTGAAGTTTTAGACCTCGATTTTGGGAGATTCTAGAGGGGTTTTTCACGAGTTTGATTTGGGTAAATTTTCTTTATCTAACATTGATTATATTTCATGATTCCATACTCATTTATACCATTAAATTAGTAAATTGAATGGATGAAAATGGGAAAGTTTTTAAAAATCTTTCAAAATGTAAAATGAGGTTTTGAAGGGCAATTCGATATCGGAATTTGATAATTTTGGTATGGTTGGACTCACATCAGAATGGTTATTCAGGGTTTATAAATTTTATCGGGTTCCGAAGTGCGGGCCCAGGACATTTGGGTTGACTTTTTAGTTTTAATTAAATGACCAAAATTTTATTATCCGGAATTGGTTCTTATGAGTTTTAATTATGTTATGAAATTATTTTTGGTAGATTTGAGCCGTCCGGAGGTTGTTTCACACGAGAAGGCCATTCTAGATTATCGGTCTAGCTTTGTTGAGGTAACTGTCTTGCCTATCTTTGTGTGGGAGCCGGGAACTACCCTTTAGGAATTGAATCATTTATGCTATTTGTGTAATGTGAAAGCCGTGTACGTGAGGTGACGAGTACGTACTCGGCTTATATGCGGAAATTCTATCCGTTTAAAAATCTAAGACATCTTTATGTGTTAAATTGAAAGTTGTTGGCACTTGTTATATCCTTTATTCGCCATGTCAACTATTACATGCTTATCCTTTATTCGCCATGTCAACTATTACATGCTTTGTTTGAAGTTGTAGTTACCTGTCACATTCTTTACTTGCCGAGTTGCTCCTATTTGCTTATTTGGAATTATTACTACTTTAACCATTTCGTGTATTCTTTTATTGCCGGGTTGCCTTTTTGTGGAGATACTTGCACTATTGGGTTTATTCTCAAACAATAAATTGAAATTGAAGTTATTAAGAGGCATGTATATATTTTTCCTGAAGTTGTGATTAAAGAAGATGTTGTTCCTTGCTGAGTTACTTATGTTGTCGGCATTGAGATACCATACACGTTGTGTTGAGCCGTGGGCTATTTGTTGTGAAATTATTGATTTCGTGGAATCTTTGGAAAGGTTATTGCCTACGGGCACTTGTGATACGACTTGATCATGTTGTGTTGTTGTGATGATAGTACATGTGAATTGTTGTGTGGTTTGATTGTTGTTTTGCGGAGTATAAGGGTGGCATTTCATCATGGTTGTTTTGCGGAGTATAAGGGTGGTGTTTCAACGTTGTTGTTATGCAGGGTATAAGGGTGGCATTTCACTGATGTTGAATGTACATAGCGATAAGGGTAGCTATTGCACGGAGTGATAAGGGTGGCTATTATACTGAGTGATAAGGGTGGCTATAGGAGAGATAATGGTGGCTATTGATATTATCAAGGGGGAGTGATACGGGTGGCTATAGGAGAGATAAGGGTGGCAATGTCAGGGATGATATGTGATGATATGGGTGTATTGTGTTGGCGATTTTGTGTGGTATTGTGATCTTCCTTGTGTTTGTTATACACTTTGCGTAATTTGTCTTGTTGTTTCGGTGAGCTAATTTGATATCCTTGATATTACTTGTTGATGTGGGCTGTAGTAGTACACTTGCACAAGCATACACCATAGTATGATACTTATACTAGCTCATGAGTATGAAACTTGACATTTATTGATTTTGGCCACATATTCTGGTATTATCCGTTTCATGTTGCCATTGAGCCTGTGATTATGCCAGGCGGATTGTAATTGTAATCCTGTGATTATGCCGGGCGAATTATGATTGTGAGCCTGTGATTATGCCAGGAAGATTATGATTATGAGCCTGTGATTATGCCGGGCGGATTGTGATGGTGAGAATGTGATCATGCCGGGTAGATTGTGATTTGTGAGCCTGTGACCATGCCGGGAAAATTTTGTTTAGTGAGTCTGTGACCATGGCGGGCGAATTATAATTTTGGAACGTGAGTTATCCGTGCGGGTTATGATTCATGTGAGTACGAGGTACCGTGAGTTTATGATGGTGGGTTGAGACCCGTGATTTGTGACTATGAGACGAGGTACCACGGAGTGACTTTGTTGTGAAAACTTGTGTTAGACAACTTGATTAATTGGTTGTCCTTTGTGTTCCTTATCTGGTTTTAATGATGTTTTCTTGGAATTTCTCATTTATTTACTGCCTATATGCACATGTTGATTTTGTTGCTAATTACTGATTCCTGCTTCCCATTATTAG